ATCCCGGCCGGGCAGTACTTCTGGGTGGACTCCTGCACCAAGTGCCGCTGCCACGATGGCCAGGATGTGGGCTATTGGGAAGGGAACCGCCTGGCCAAGTGTGAGAAGACCAAGAACTGCGACCCACAGGAGGGGCAGGAGAACTTATAGAGGGCAAAGGTCACCAGAAGCAGCTGATCTCCGGCTTATCCCATTGTAACGCCAATCTCTCACCGAGTGTACAACATGGCGGCCGCGGGGGCGACATTATTAGTATTCCTTTCATCTGTCTTGTATCTTATTCACAGTCTACGGGTCCTCTGGTGACAGTCCAGACCCCAAACATAGAATCAGCCCTCGGCCTTCCTCTTATTTTATACCTGGTGTCACTCTGAGGATATGCAGTACCTCCTGCTCAGTGATATCTCCTCCTCTGAGAGTCAGCAGGTCCTCCAGGCTGAACCATTCCCACTGGGCACCATTTTGTGTGGAGCGCTCTTCCCAGCGGGGAATCTCAGGGGCCCTCCTTACTTTCCTCACAGTGACCTGTGCCGAATCCATGAACAGTCCGGTCCACCAATGGCAGCGAGGAACCTTCAGTCTCTTTAGTATGAAAGGCCCACCAATGGCGGCGAGGAACCTTCAGTCTCTTTACTATGAAAGGCCCACCAATGGCGGCGAGGAACCTTCAGTCTCTTTACTATGAAAGGTCCACCAATGGCAGCGAGGAACCTTCAGTCTCTTTACTATGAAAGGCCCACCAATGGCGGCGAGGAACCTTCAGTCTCTTTACTATGAAAGGCCCACCAATGGCGGCGAGGAACCTTCAGTCTCTTTACTATGAAAGGCCCACCAATGGCAGCGAGGAGCCTTCAGTCTCTTTACTATGAAAGGCCCACCAATGGCGGCGAGGAACCTTCAGTCTCTTTACTATGAAAGGCCCACCAATGGCCGCGAGGAACCTTCAGTCTCTTTACTATGAAAGGCCCACCAATGGCCGCGAGGAACCTTCAGTCTCTTTACTATGAAAGGCCCACCAATGGCCGCGAGGAACCTTCAGTCTCTTTACTATGAAAGGCCCACCAATGGCCGCGAGGAACCTTCAGTCTCTTTACTATGAAAGGCCCACCAATGGCCGCGAGGAACCTTCAGTCTCTTTACTATGAAAGGCCCACCAATGGCCGCGAGGAACCTTCAGTCTCTTTACTATGAAAGGCCCACCAATGGCCGCGAGGAACCTTCAGTCTCTTTACTATGAAAGGCCCACCAATGGCCGCGAGGAACCTTCAGTCTCTTTACTATGAAAGGCCCACCAATGGCCGCGAGGAACCTTCAGTCTCTTTACTATGAAAGGCCCACCAATGGCCGCGAGGAACCTTCAGTCTCTTTACTATGAAAGGCCCACCAATGGCCGCGAGGAACCTTCAGTCTCTTTACTATGAAAGGCCCACCAATGGCCGCGAGGAACCTTCAGTCTCTTTACTATGAAAGGCCCACCAATGGCCGCGAGGAACCTTCAGTCTCTTTACTATGAAAGGCCCACCAATGGCCGCGAGGAACCTTCAGTCTCTTTACTATGAAAGGCCCACCAATGGCCGCGAGGAACCTTCAGTCTCTTTACTATGAAAGGCCCACCAATGGCCGCGAGGAACCTTCAGTCTCTTTACTATGAAAGGCCCACCAATGGCCGCGAGGAACCTTCAGTCTCTTTACTATGAAAGGCCCACCAATGGCCGCGAGGAACCTTCAGTCTCTTTACTATGAAAGGCCCACCAATGGCCGCGAGGAACCTTCAGTCTCTTTACTATGAAAGGCCCACCAATGGCCGCGAGGAACCTTCAGTCTCTTTACTATGAAAGGTCCACCAATGGCGGCGAGGAACCTTCAGTCTCTTTAGTATGAAAGGTTTATTTGCTCAATAACGAGGAGAGAGGGCGGGGCCTCAGATGACCCACAATGCATAGCAAAATACCCCAAACCTCCTATTTACACCACACTTGGTAATGGCCCTTTAGGAGAAGGCTTCCCAATACCGTAGTAGACGTCCTAATACTGACTAGTGACCTCCCAGGCTGGTTTTGGGGCTCTGACCATATGAAAGCAGTCACAGGTACTAGAGAGTTATGTGGTAAGGT